TGCTGCTTGGTGGCTGCTGCTGCTGCTTGGTGGCTGCTGCTGCTGCTGCTGCTGGTGGCTGCTGCTTGGTGGCTGCTGCTTGGTGGCTGCTGCTGCTGCTGCTGCTTGGTACTGTACCTGCTGCTGCTGCTTGGTACTGTACCTGCTGGTGCTGCTTGGTACTGTACCTGCTGCTGCTGCTTGGTACTGTACCTGCTGCTGCTGCTTTGTACTGTACCTGCTGCTGCTGCTTGGTACTGTACCTGCTGGTGCTGCTTGGTACTGTACCTGCTGCTTCTGCTTGGTACTGTACCTGCTGCTTCTGCTTCGTACTGTACCTGCTGCTTCTGCTTGGTACTGTGCCTGCTGCTTCTGCTTGGTACTGTACCTGCTGCTTCTGCTTGGTACTGTACCTGCTGCTGCTGCTGGCTGCGGCTGCTGGCTGCTGGCTGCTGGCTGCTGCTGCTGCTGGCTGCTTGCTGCTGGCTGCTTGGTAGCTGCTGCTAGGTAGCTGCTCCTGCTGCTGCTGCTGCTGCTACTGCTTGGTAGCTGCTGCTTGGTAGCTGCTCCTGCTGCTGCTTGGTAGCTGCTGCTGCTGTAGCTGCTGCCGCTGCTGCTACTGCTTGGTGGCTGCTGCTGCTGCTTGGTGGCTGCTGCTGCTGCTGCTTGGTGGCTGCTGCTGCTGCTTGGTAGTTGCTCCTGCTGCTGCTGGTGCTGCCGCTGCTGCTTCGTAGCTGCTGCTTCTGCAGCTGCTGCTTTTGCTGCTGCTGCTTTTGCAGCAGCTGCTTGGTAGCTGCTGCTGCTGCTGCTGCTGCTGCTGCTGCTTTTGCTTGGTATTGTACCTGCTGCTGCTGCTGCTGCTTGCTGCTGCTGGCTGCTTGCTGCTTGCTGCTGCTGCTTGCTGCCTGCTGCTGCTGCTGGCTGCTTGCTGCTGCTTGCTGCTTGCTGCTGGCTGCTGCTGCTGCTGCTGCTGCTGCTTGGTAGCTGCTGCGGCTGCTTGGTAGCTGCTCGTCCTGCTGCTTGGTAGCTGCTGCTGCTGCTGCTTGGTAGCTGCTGCTGCTGCTGCTGCTTGGTAGCTGCTGCTGCTGCTTGGTAGCTGCTGCTGCTGCTGCTTGGTAGCTGCTGCTTCTGCTGCTGCTGCTTGGTAGCTGCTGCTGCTGCTGCTGCTTCTGCTTGGTACTGTACCTGCTGCTGCTGCCGGGTACCTGCTGCTTGCTGCTGGCTGCTTGCTGCTGCTGCTGCTGCTGCTGCTGCTGCTGCTTGGTAGCTGCTCCTGCTGCTGCTGCTGCTTGGTAGCTGCTCCTGCTGCTGCTGCTGCTGCTGCTTCTGCTTGGTACTGCACCTGCTGCTGCTGCCGGGTACCTGCTGCTTGCTGCTGCTGGCTGCTTGCTAGCTGCTGTTGATGCCGCTGCTGCTTGGTAGCTGCTTCTGCTGCTGCTGCTGCTGCTGCTTGGTAGCTGCTGCTGCTGCTGCTGCTTGGTAGCTGCTGCTGCTGCTGCTGCTTGGTAGCTGCTGCTGCTGCTTGGTAGCTGCTGCTTCTGCTGCTGCTGCTGCTTGGTAGCTGCTGCTGCTTGGTGGCTGCTGCTGATGATGCTGCTGCTGCCGCTGCTGCTTGGTTGCTGCTGCTGCTGCCGTTGCTGGGGTGGTTGTGTGTTGCCATGTGTTGGCTGTGTTGGGGTCGTATTGGGGGGGCGCTGTTGGCACTCTCTTTTTCCCTTGGCCATGGCATGTTGCGATTCCCGGCCAGGCTTTCCTGCCAAAGAGCCCCAGCGTTGTTTCTTTGCCTAGCTTTCGCCACCCCGCTCTGGGCCACAAGTTAGGTTCACAGTGAATTGGTTGACCTTCAGCTGTGGGCTGTGGTTTCGATGCCGCGCAGAGCACCACCGTAACCAGGCATGTGGCCTTTTGTTGAAGGACGGGTTAGATATCAAAAGGAACCCGGTTCAAGATATAGGAATCCAAAAGATAATATTCAGCATTTGTTGGAGCCCCTGTGCCTTTTGTAAAAAACGGAATCTATTGCAATATGACATTTTTTTAGCTATTATATTGGCCTTGGGCTCCGTGGCGCTCAATACCTGAGACCTCGTCAAGTGAGTGTGGGGAGGGGTCCCTTTGATGGATGCCGCCCATATGGTACTCGCTGGATGCATGGCATGAAAAGTTGGAAACTACATACACAAAGATCATTTGTTGCATACTCATGGTCGGTAGGATTTGCGAAAGATTCGCAGAACCAGTGAGGGCATGCTAGCTTTGCCCTCAGGACCCCGAGGCACTGCCTTGAAGTATTCCGCATGGAGCACCGTTCAGCTTCGGGATGAACAAAGTACACGTTCGTTTCAGACCAGATGGCGCCGGCACCCCTGCATCTTTGAGAATCTTTTGGATGGGGGTCCATATAAGCAACTGACCTTTGGGGTGCCATTGAACCTTTGAAACCACTGTAGGCGTCCGACCATGTGTTGGACCTCCGAGATGCAGAAAGAATTCAACACCAGAAACGATCCCTCAGGTCTAGTTCGAGACCTCCTAGTCATGGCTTTCTGCAATGTGGGGCTAACAGAACACCTTGATCGAGTCAAGAAACTCTATTGTTGTACTGGGGGCCATCACCTCAACAAGAACTTAGGCACATTTCTGTGATTACAGTAGATTACAGTTTTTTGAGGGTTCCCGCATACTATTCACAACGAGAGATGTGCTCTGTGGCTTTTAATCGCAGACCACTCGGATGCTCTCTTTGCACTGTTGATGACTCAAACATTTGCATTTGAGGCAACAAAACCCGAGAACGAGCGGCCTTCCAGCTCCAATCATTGGTGGATCAATTCATGGACGAGAAGCCTTCAGCAGCACACCGGCTGCGGATGGCACATAGCTGTTTCTTGGCAGTATCGCAAGGGCTTTACGGTACATTGCTTCTACAGCTGTTTTGATAGGTCTGGAAGTGTCACTCCCACAAAATACCTCTCAAACATTCCGTTGCTTACTTTGCCTAAGCTTTGTCAGACTCACTTCAGATAGGCTGTGCAGCCCAGGCATGTGAATTGCTTTGTGTGTGTGTGTGTGCGTGTTCATATTGCAATTGGTTCAAAGCTCAAGTAACAAAAATTGACAGGAGCTTGTACAGCTGGGGGCAGCCATAGCACTGGGCAAATGAGAGACCTGAAGTAGTAGACCCGAAGTTAAACTGTGTTTTGGGCTGCGTAAAGTAGGGCAAGGCTATTTACATCAGCAAGCCAACTGAAACTGGCCCCAAGTTCAGTGGGTTTCTGCTGCAGGTGGCTATCCTGCACGTTTTCACCTTCAACATGAGGTGGCCACCCGCATGATGCGGATGGGACACTTGGCACCGGCCCTGTCCCCGTAGAACCTGGGGTGAGCCTTCGGCGTTCTCGGATGTCGGGTAGGAGATCCTGGGTGGTTGGGGAATCGATGGCAAAAGTAGGTACGATCGGTGGATCCATGTGACCCCTCCCCAAGTCCCAAACCATCTTGGATGCATAGCATAGAATCTTTGGGGATGCACCTGTTATATATTTGTTGGCTTTCAAGTTGATGTTCTGCACAGATTTGAGTTTTGAGCCAGCTTGAATCAAAGGGATCAGTCGAGCTGAGCCAAACAAGTACGTTCGTTGCAAATGCTTCTGCGGCGTCCCTTCACCAGATCTTGAAGGTAGCAAATATTATATATACAGTACGTATTATACAGCAAATGTAATGTACATATATGTACATATTATCATACGTATCTAATCAATACCAACATTCGATCACCGCAACCGGGTCGATAATACCGCGTTTAAGTAGATTGAACCATTGCTCACAGGAGTTGCAAACTAGTGTTTGCGAGCTGCTTGACTCACCGTTGCACAAAACAGACAAATGCGGGTGCTTGTAGTTCGCGGGGGTTGAACAGAGAAAAGACAGTGGGTGTCCTATTTCGTTCCCCCCTTGTCGCTTGTGAACCCAACCGACGACAAGTGTTGCTTAGTCAGGCGAGTCAGGTTTCAAGAACGACGAATGCATCATTCTCGATCATGTCAGCATTCGCTCCACAGCTGAGGAATGGTCAGCACAGCTCACGAGCAATTCAAGAAGCTTCGCATGTGGCCAGAAGCGGTGGAGTGCTTAATCATAGCAGAGCGAAATGTGGAAGCAGAGGATATGCTCAAGGACGGTGCTCCCTGTGGAGCCCGGCGGAAAAACCACGGTGCCGACGAGGGTCGTCCTGGAGACCGGAAGATGGGGATTCTTGGTCAACCGAAAGCTCATCTCACCAGTGCCCATAGTATCAGGTATGTCCCTTGGACAGCCGAAGAATGGGGACAGCGCAGTTGGTCATTTGGTTTTGACATGTGTCCTTCCTTGCCGTGGAAGGTGGGGCAAGTGCCGTGTCCAAACGATTGTGGGGGGGACCGGGATGGTCTCAATCGCAGGACTTGGCTTTGTTTATAATATGTAGGTGTGCAACGCCTAAGGCCACGAATTGCTAAGAAAAAGGTACATAAACCTGTTGAAACTACGCAGCTGGTGAATCCGCAGACGTTGGTGGCATCGGTCGTTTTCTGAAGAAGTGTTGGTGGCATCCAACCCCATATTGGATGCCTTGTCCTATTGTAATTAGTATGTTGATTTACCCCCGGTCGCGTACGTCGCGCACCACCTATAGGAATATGCTACCATGGGGTGTGGGTCAAAACCTCACCCCGGGTTCGTTGGACCTCCCGAACACAGAGGAGGAAATGCGTTCGGGTTGGTCGGGGGGTGTCAACCGGTCGGTCCCCCGGTTTGGACATCACCGAGGCATCCGACCTCCGTTGGTCCGACCTCCGTTGGTCGGATTGTTCGCAGGAACTCATCGAGAAGCATCCATCACCAAGGCTCGGAGTCGTTGGTATGAACAGCCTCGGCAAATGTGTTATGTTGAAAAACGATGGAAAAACAAATGAAAACGATGGAACACAAGGATTCATGCACCCAATGTTGTTTTGCCCACGCAAGAAATCAAAAGCGTGGCTCACACAATATATGAACAAGTATCAGTATGAACATATTTTCTTGAAGTGGGGCGTCAGATCAGCCAGAGAGGCGGCAGATCTTGACTTGAGCAGTTTGGTATCAGGCTTTGGTGCTGCTTGGGGGATGTGATGAAAGACCCACAGCACTATGAGACTGCCTGGGAGCTTTCCAAGAAACGTTTTGCCCGAGCACAGCGGTCTCTCGGAAGGCTTGGTCCCAACTTACCAACCTTGGGACATTTGTAAGCCTGTCTCCTTAGTTGCTGTTCAGAAGCAGCATTCATGCGAATGATGTTCGTCGAGGAGCAAGGATGTTCGCATACAGTCTTTGACTTGGCTGTTTTTGGTGCTAGCAGCACTGAAGAAGTCAAAATGCTAGTGTTCACATGTATTCACAGTTTGCTTGCCTTCAATACATTGCTGCCCTCCTCATTTTAACGTATATAAGCGCCCTGTGCTCCCTGCCATGCTGTAACAGATACTACTTTGACAAGAAGCAGATTGCGAAGAGTGTGGAGGCCTTCAAGCTGGCCCTGGACATCAACCCTATGTATGAGGGCATCTGGTTCACTTTAGGCTCGAGATGGCTCCAACCGTGACATTCGGAGTGTTTGGTTCCATGCATGCGGTCCTGTCCGGAACACTTGCGATTTCTTGCGCATGGCCAAAGCTCTTTGAGTGAAGTCCGCCTCTCCTTTTCCACGGGAGATCTCACCCCACGGCCATGCCGTTGCACTCACCAGCTTCACCACAGATCGCTTAGAGCGGTTATGCGCCGTTCCCTCCCGTGTTTGGATTTTCAGGTTAGGTGGAAAGCTCCTCATCCCTTCGATGGCTCACCATTTCTGAATCAATTTGGCTTATCCCAGGGAAGTCATACGTTGAAAACGAATCAATGCCCTTGTATGAGTAACCCATGTTTTTGGAGATGAGAAGGTTATCCAACAAGCTCCCGACTCCAGGTGTTGGGCTCATGCAGCTGGAGCGCATGGATGAAGCCATGGTCGCTTTCTCGCGTGTTTTGGCCATCAACGACGAGGAGCAAGACGACGACATATGTTGGGTTTGTCCTGGTCCTGGTCCTATTTTATACCTGTAACTGTAACAGTCAGTAAACAGTTATCACTGTTTTACAGAAATGCCTCTACTAACCATCATCCACTGTTACTGGAAATAGGATAGACCCAAGCCATATGGTTCAAACCATATGATTCATGTGCATTACAAACCTTTCAGACGACAGGAAAGACGGCAAGACCAAACAAGAATATGACCTGTGATCACCCTCCTGACTCATCTAGGGTCCCAAAAGAGTTTCTGGACCTGCAACAAGGCTTGGCTCTCTGGAAAATCGAGAGAAGTATGTTGCAGAAGTATTCTGGGCATCTTTCCTAAAGACTTCCTCTCGCAGCGCACCTGGTGGTTGATTTACCCCTCCCTCCAACAAACATGGAAGCTGACCCGGACCCCGTATCATAGAGGAAAACGGTCTTGCAGGGGCCCATGTTCCACTTCCGTGATTGTTTCGAGGAGTGTAGGCCGTTTGACAGGGCTGAGCTGACCAAGGTCAGGATTGACTGCAAGCATCAGACGGTCTCGACAAGCCAGATTGTTTGAGGGACTGTGCGGCATAGAAGGGTTTATTGACATGTGCGACGTAATTACAGCAATCGTTTTTCTTTAAATGATCAATGCAGATCCATGTTTCTAACAATGTTCGACCAACAGAATGTAAATGTATCACCCTCACAGTGCCTGTTTGCTGGCTTTTCTTTCAGGACGGCCAAGCGTGGGCCAACCTAGCTGCAGTACACCTCCACCAGAACCGGGCCTTTTGACAACAAACAAGTGCTGGGGAGAGGATTTAGAGATATTTAGAGTCTGTAATCCTTTTGCAGCTCATTGAAACGCGTGGACAGCTCTACAGTAAATGGTGAGTTTGGCCAGTTCAGGGGATATATTCAGTTGTGTTTCCAGCACCGGGCTGCAGATGTGTTTGCCCAAGCGAGGTGAAAGAGGCCCGGACCTGCATGGTGGAGGCCACCAAGAGGCCAGACGAAGCATCCGGTTTCGGGGGGATTCCTGGGGTGCCGCTGGACTGTTCCCAGTGGATGTTGCATTGATTGAATTGACAAAGGGGGAGAGGAAAGGGAAGGGGATGGATGTTGAAGTATGTCTCCTTGAATCCTTATTGGATTTTATTGGACTTAACCCTGGGATATCCTGAGAGCAAGTGATGTTTAGAGGAGAACTCCAATGGGTTTTGACAACTTTGTGGATTGTATCAACTGCCGACCCCTTGCTAGCTTGTCTATTTGCTGAAGTTGAACATGCTCATTGGTCGCATTGTCGGTGTTGCCAAACCGTGGCAGGTGTAGACAGAATTGGCGAATGTGGGTGCTTTGGCTGCAGATCCATGTCACTCCCAACGCAAAGTCCGGGAGTCGGGGCCGCCAAAGAGGAGCAGCGCATCAGAAGCTCCCCCCTATATAAGTGCTGAAAAAAAAAAAAAAAACTTTCTAGATTTTCTACAGGAGACCTAGACTTCAACCTGCCCATGTGTGTATGTCCCTTGTTTGGCTTTGTGTTCCTGTGCACCCATGTTCGAAGCGTTCTAGAGCTAAGGAGAGCTTCCAGGGGATTTGCATCAAGCCGGGGCCCTGAGTCGGTGGACTCGGAATTTGGGCACAGCACCGTGGCACACCCAGTGGCACACCCTTGAAAGTGGTGCAAGCAGTTCCTTCTCAAGGATTTTGTGACTCATGAATCATGAATGTTGGAACTCTTTGCAACTTCAAACATCCGTTGGAGATCAATTTGGGCATTGAGGCAACATGTTCCCCCTGCTTTTGGAAGAGCATATGTGAAAATATATGAGGTGAGCATTCGCTTCATAATGATGCTTCATGGCTTGTTGTGCAGTTCATCTGTTGTGCCGCACATTGCCGCTGGCTCAAGTCGGATCGCACAGCTCTCGAAAGAAGCTTTTCTTGCGAAGCCATCCGATCCTTTGGAACAATGAAGTCCGCGCAGGTGTGGATGGGATCGGAACAGCCAGCTCTTTTCAAGCCAAGAGCTTTGGATGGGATGGGATTGAAGATCTGGTGTGGCTGTGGATGGGTTTTTTGATGGTTTTTGCCGTTGCTCAAATGCCACGGAAGTACGTCCAGTTGGGCGAGAGCTGACCCTCAGTCGGGGCTGCTCGTCCGTCCTTTTGTGGGACGAAGGTGATGCTGCAAATGTGTTGTGTAAGACCCTTGATGAATAAACCACCCGAGAGTCCACCCGATATGTTATGCGTTGGTTTTCATGGTTGTTCAATTCCAAAGGGGGGTTCTGTAGGTTGTGTACCTCAAGAGTCTACATTACAGTTCAATTTGCTTTTGCCAGGTCTTGACGTTCATCGCGGCGATGACGCCGGGAGTGCTCGCAGTGCTCGCAGTGCACAAGGAAGCTCCCCCAAACCCAGATGAGGTGTCTTGGCAGGTCGCCAGGGATCTCAGCTCATTAGTTTGTGTCACGCGTTGTTGTGAAATTACAAGTTACAAGCAGCGAATCAAGATGCAGGCCTGTTTTTCAGACCACCTGTGTTTGGGAGCCACTTCCATGTCAACTGTCAGCTGGAACAGGCCGTTTAAAGTTTTAAATTCCTACCAATCGAAAGGTAACAAAACGTGTAGTGAGCTTGGGTATCGACCAGTATCTATCGTTGATGCAACGAATCATCGCACATCATCGCACCAAACATATGTACATATCAACCAATCACATGACGGGCCAAAACGTCCCATGTTCGTTCCAATCCCATGTTGTTCAAAACGTTTTCACAGGTCGGTCCGGCGCTCCATCTTTTCTTCTTCCTCATTTGACCGAGCCAAAAGGCGGATCTTCGCTGAGCTCAAAGAACCGGTCGCTTAGCAGTCCCTCGCTGACTGAAGGTTCCCCTGCCTGCAGTGCCCAACATGGTGGCCGTGGGGAAGAGCGGATTTCCTGAGTTGCCCACAGTCTCCGCCATGCTGGATGAGTCCACGCAGACCTTGAGTTCCTCGGTGTGGGATGGTGTGGCCACTGGGCCAAGGCCTCAATACTCTATGAGGTGCCCCTACCAGCTTTTGACACCACAACTTTTTGATGACTAAGGCTGGAATTCCGATGGTGTCGGATGGCAGGGATGGCAGGTTTGGTGGACGGGTGGGGTTCTAGGGTAGGGAGTGCGTGCTTTCTGTGGTAGTAAAGTGATGAGAAGTAGCCCGAATATGTAGTTGTTTTTTCTGCTGCTGAAATGATTCAAGTGGACAAGATGGAAAAGGTCAAGCTCTACTGTTGCATTCAAAAATGCCAGGCATCGGATAGTGCTGTTGAGCTCCCACGCCCTTCTGCTGAACATGTCCGCAACTATGCCTGGAAGCTATCAACTGCGAACTGCACCCCTGACTGCGCCACCTGCTGCTCATTGCAGGGGTTTTCCTTCAGGAGCCAGGAGTGGGTGATGATTTGACCAACGGATTTGCTCAACGGCTGGTCATATTGTTCCTGCCTGCCGAGGCGGAATCAGCAGCCAGGCGCAGAAGCTTCAGCAGCAGATGCTGCAGGTTCAGCAGGAGAACGCCGCGCGCATGCAGCGCCAGAAAGCGGTCTTTGACCGGAAGTTGCTGCTCGGTGGTAGACCCGGTGGTGGATTTCTCCAGGACAACTGCAGGTGGAAGGCTCAACCCGTTAGTCACGAAGCAGAAGACCACCTCAGGCAAAAGCCCATGTGAGGGTGAGCTATAAATGATTCCGAATTTGTGCAGCATGTGCGACTCCTGGACTTGAATACGTTCTTCATCTTGGATTTTGGGCAAGCTGCGCAGACAATCAACGTTGGCCCGGAAGTTGTAGATACAACAGACTATTATTAGTCTATTGTTGAGAGGTTGTGGTGCGAAAGGGTACCAAGAGAAATCGAGAATGCCCACAATGGCAAAAGAGTTTTGGGACTTGGCACCCTGATATGGGGGAACGGTTTGAGGCAAGAGCAGGAGGAGAAGAACAGGGCCGTGGTCAAGGAGAATGCTGTGATCGCGCAGAACATCATGAACATGAAGAAGGAGAAGCCAAACCATTCTACATTCAATGTTCACATTACATGCTTTGCGCCGAAACTGTCCCAGGCCGACCCAAAGAAGTTCCTTTCCATTTTGTCGATCCCACATGGAACCTGATGGCATGGACCTTTGGAAGACGATTTTCCTCTACAACCCAGTGGTTTTCAGGTTCCATGTTAAATTTCCAGTGTGTAATTCTTGGACTGCTAAACGTCCATGCATTGAACCCTGATGTACTGCATGGGCCCCCAGAGAGAAAGAGCTGCCGTGAGGAGAATGAAAAGCTGCTGAAGCACGCCCAGACCTTGCAGAAGGGTAACTCCTTGCGTGTCTTGGACGTGATTGCGTTGACTCCACTGCCAAAGCTGATGATGCTGATTTTGACCAGATTGATAGTTACAACAGTTTATGAAATCACACCACAACCCTTGGGAGACACGGCGGGAGCTCCCTCGAACTCCACGTTGCGGGGGCCGAGGTCATGGAGAGCTGAACATGTTGCAGGATCAGCTCACGGCAGCTCAGAGCTTCTTGAAGGATTCCTTGACTCAGACGGACGACAGCAACGCGAGCGACCTGGAGGCCGATGCCGAGTGACCTGGTCATGGGCGGGTTCATGCGCCGTTGGATGCATATGTTACGGTATAAATATATACGACTATACATACATACTATACATATATCTATCCATATATACTGACTACTGTACAGACATATTTCTCTATGTTTGACGACCACTATACTACTCACCGCTACCCCTCCTACACTGATCCCTCAAGTAATCAGAACCGATCTCACTCTTCGCCTCGCCGATGGTGGCAAGGCACGGCCCAAAACCGCACCGCACCGCAGGTCTTGAAGGATGAGAAGCACCCGAGCGGCCCGAGCTCCGCGGCGGCCGTGTCCTTCTTGGAGGTCTCCGAATGGGCCGAGCCGGAGGCCCCGGCGGCCGCTGCGGCGGCACCGGAGCAGCCCGAGAGCCTGTTGACCATGCTGGGCAATGAGGTGAAGGTGCTTCTGCCAATGTTGACGTGCAGGGCTGGCCAGCAACAACCGCATCACATGCCCACAAATACCCCATGAATGCACACCAGAAAAATATTGAGTTAGTAGGTGCGTATTTGAGATAGGAGCCTCAAAGATCGAGTTGTGAAGTTGGCACCCATGGGGTTTGTGTGTCAGTAAGTCCATGTGCGGAAATATACAATAATATAATATATACACTCAGCTTGAAATAATCCTGGACCACTGGAACCGCTGGAAGTGGAGTTCACCTGTTTGGTCTTCGGATTTGATGGTCATCCGAGTCGCCTCATCGGGGCTGGCGAGAACCCACGTTGGCTCCGACCGCCTCCGGGGCGCCCCACGAAGTCGCGTGAGGTGATGAAGAAGCAGGGCCAGGACAGCGAGGCGAAGTTGAAGGAACTCTTCAAGACGGATTTCCAAGCAGGCGTGAAGCGCCACAAAGCCTTGCTGGCACAACAGAAGGCGGGAGCTCGTTAGTGAGAGGCTTTTGAGATACGAAGTCCGAAGGGAAACAAAAACGCACAGACGGTGGTTAAGGAGCTAGACTATCAGGCTGTATGTTACATGGAGCAAAACAATGCATGCCACATGGTTTTGCAGTTCTCACTTCTCACTTCCTATTCTGAATTCTTGGAAGAGGAATGTCCCGTGTCTCTAACTTCCCGCTGGAGAAGACGGTTCACTTGGTCTTTTGACTATTGTTGCTTGTTCATATATTTCTTTGGAAGTGATGGACGCCCCCACCCATCCGTTTTCATGGCTGGGATTATGTTTAATAGGTAGACCTGTTTTTGCCGCAGTTTTGCCGTACGCCGTATACAAGGTGCAAGTGTGGGGCCATGAGCCAGCAATGCTGTTCCGACATGCTGGCTGTGATTCTGCAAGTGGTTATAGACATGGCTGCGTATTGGAATAAGGAGATCGTTTTGGTTTATTGAGGTCTTCCTATTCCAATGCAAATCCAAAAGAGACCAGGTCCTGAAGGAAACCTTGGAGAAGATGAAGTCCTTCCACGACCGACTGGACGCTGCCGATAAGCAGCTTGGTTCAGGCGTTTCGGGAGCGTCGGGACCTACACCTCGCCGCGGATTCTGTCCACCGCCAGGGCTGATGGTTCAAGCACAACTGGCCGCCAACAGTGTGCAAAAAGAAACATCACACAGGTTCCAGTTATATAATCTGTTCAGGAATGATGTCCAGCACGCTGACCAAAACCAAAAAACTCAAGACAATCCAACACATGCCAACAAAAGCAACAGGGTTTGGCTGCAACTCAGGCTATCTCAGGCTGGCCTCCGGCTCATAGCTAGGCTTGATCGTTTTTGATGTTTGGTCGATTTCTTCAGGAAGCCAGATTGTCTCCTTTGGCTATGTTCTCATGATATTGGATTGAAAGAAACAAGGTTATTAAGCAAAGCCGTGAGGTTTTATATAAGATTGCTTTGTTCAGAGCGGTTTGTCATATGTTGTCATACATATATGTTACATACATATATAACAGTGGACTCACAAGGCAAACATTGCTCTCACGCGGTCTTGCTTCTTCGCATGTTGCTTCATCTCATACTAACTGTTGCATTGAAACACGGAAGACGTTCGCATCAAGATTCAGGAAACATGTGTATATTCACAGGTTTTCCACCCCTCGTATGCTCTCGTGACTTGTGAAAGATCGGCTCCCAGAGGAGGGTCGCTTGTGGTTAATCTACTTTGTGGACCCGGCATCGGTTTCCGGATTCGACCTGGCAAAACACAGTATGATGATGTACTGTATGATGTTTCTCCTCTTGGTTGGTATATGAAGAAGTTTTTTGCAGTCTAAAAAGGCTCTGAATTCAATGAGTTTACATTTTGCCACCACCGCTCTCCTTGGACTCCGATTCCGGCCACGTTTGAGAAATCAGCTGCCACATGCTGAGGCACCTCCAGAGCACTCGCACAACCATGGACTCCTGGGCTGCGCCGAGTAACTTACACTACCGGTCCCCCCAAAAAAGACAGAGAGAGGGAGAGAGAGAGGGGGAGAGATAAAAAGACACTTGCACAGAAAACGGCATCCAGAAAAAGATAATATGGAGGAATAAGTGCGGAATCATGATGTGAGTTTTCTTGGTTTTCCTGTACAAACGACGTGTTTTGTTGTATACTTCTAATTCTCATTCATAATTGGTTTGCCAACTGTATAAATGGGCGGATGTTTCAAGGAGTTTTGAATGGAGGGCTGGCATAGTGCTCTCACTCCTCGAGTGGGTGCTCTCACTCCTCGAGTGGGGGGTTCATGTTTGCTGGACGTTTGCTGAATTGAATAGTGAATAGACTGGCATGGATTGGCGTAGGGCTTACGGTGGCACATGCTGGGAAGTATATATGTGTGTTTGATGGTCAATGAATCTGAGCGAATTATTGCGAGCTCACTTCGCGAGGTACGAGGTAGAATAATTTCAAAACAAAATTATGCGAGGTAAGTCCAGCACCAGGACTCCACCAAGCCAAGCAGCCTTCTTGACGTCTCAGGCCCTAGCCAGGCATACTGGGTAAGGAACCTGTGCTGAGCAGCTCAAATAGGCAAGCCCCAAGAAACAATCCTATTTTGGCGAAATAGGATTTCACGATTGGGGATTGGTTTGCAGCCTTGTTGATGTTGTCTTAAGCCCTAGCCAGCCCCACTAGGTCAGGAAACTGTGCTGAACAGCTCAAATAGGCAAGCCCCATAAAACAACCCTATTTTGGCGAAATAGGGTTTCACGACTGTGGATTGGTGTGCAGCCTTATTGATGCTGTCTTAATCCCTAGCCAGCCCCACTAGGTCAGGAAACTGTGCTGAGCAGCTCAAGTAGGCAAGCCCCATGAAAAAACCCTATTTCGGCGAAATAGGGCTTCACGACTGTGGTTGGTTTCCACCCTTGTTGATGTTGTCTCGGGCCCTAGCCAGCCCCACTAGGTATGGAAACTGTGCTGAGCAGCTCAAATAGGCAAGCCCCATGAAAAAGCCCTACTTTGGCGAAATAGGGTTTCACGATTGTGGATCAGTCGGTAAGGAAACGCCCTTCTCACTTAAGCACTCCCGACCCGCACGCAACGTACACGCGCGCGCGCGCAACGTGGGAAAAGAGAAAAAGTTTCCAGAGGGTGGGGTCGAGCCTGAGCCTCGCCCTACGACGGTTGCGGTGTTTCCAACTAGGCCGCTCGCGCGTCGATTTGGCAATTTGGGTCCCTAGTTCGAAACCTTAAAACAAACCCTTTTGGGCAAAAATTGGGTTTCACAACGGTTGATTGGTTCGCCGCCGTTTTGGCCTGGTTTCCCAACCTACCAAGGCCTAGTAAGTAAAGATCATGAGCCGCGCAGCTCTAAAAGGCAAGCCCCCTGAAACGACCCTATTTCGGCGAAATAGGGCTTCACGACTGTGGATTGGCTTGCAGCCTTCTTGCTGTTGTCTCGGGCCCTAGCCATCCCCACTAGGCATGGAAACTGCGCTGAGCAGCTCAAATAGGCAAGCCCCATGAAACGACACTATCTCGGCGAAATAGGGTTTCACGACTGTGGATTGGTTTGCAGCCTTGTTGATGTTGTCTCGGGCCCTAGCC